AAGAAGAAGAAGAAGGAGGAGGAGGAGGAGGAGGAGGAGGAGGAGGAGAAGAAGAAGGAGGAGAAGAAGGAGAAGAAGGAGAAGGAGGAGGAGGAGGAGGAGAAGGAGGAGGAGAAGGAGGAGGAGAAGGAGGAGAAGGAGGAGGAGAAGGAGGAGGAGAAGGAGGAGAAGGAGAAGAAGAAGAAGAAGAAGAAGAAGAAGAAGGAAGAAGAAGAAGAAGAAGAAGTAAAAGCGGCCAGATTCGTGCAAACATAGCACAAACATCGCACCAGTGGGGAGCAAACCATAGCCTCAAGGTTGCTTGTCCAGAATCTTTATACCTGAGACTCTGAGAGGTCAGTTCATGGAGATTGCTTCTATTTGTTTAAGTCGTTTTTTGGAAAACACCTATGGTTATTACCTTATTACGGAATTACCATGTGCATTTACGCAGAGAGAGAAGGAGAGCATTCTGGCGAACGGCACCTACGTGAGAGAGAACGAGAGCATTCTGGCGCAAGTCGTTTTCTGGAGGCATTGCATGACCACACGGCGCACGGCACTTATGCAGAGAGAGAAGGAGAGCATTCTGGCGCACGAGTGTGTGTTGGGGGGGGGGAGGGGGAGAAGGGGGGAGAGAGAGGGAGAGGGAGAGAGAGAGAGAGAGAGAGAGAGAGAGAGAGAGAGAGAGAGAGAGAGAGAGAGAGAGAGAGAGAGAGAGAGAGGAGATTATTCTCACCATCCAACTGGTTGTGCGCGGCCCCAGTAAACATCCACATAATTGGGGAACAATATGCCACCCACCGAGCTCCAGCTGGAATGTTCTCCAGATTAATGTAGAAGCCACCAAACAGCATGAAGATGACAGTGACAAGGGGACCCAACCCCAAGGCAACTTGAGGCGTAGGAGCAACGGAACCAATCTGATCAAAACATAGAGAGAACGTGAAACAAACCACATCGCCTTCAGCATACCATCGCTCAAGAGTCTGACAGTATTCATAAGTGAGCTTCAAAATTGCATCATCAAGAAAAACACTGTGTGTGGAGCCCAGCCCAAGCACGAGCCCGGGCAGGACGGTGAAAATAGGCCCGCGGAGGTCAACATCAGGAAGTAGCGGCTAGGGTAGCAGACAAAGGCAAAAGGTAATCTCTTTGAGGTGAGGCTGTGCTGGCATTTTGGATTCCGATAGGCTTAGGGGTAGCTACCGTCTAGTTAGGCTAGGGTCTCCAGCCTGAAATAGGGAGATATCGGACTGCAATGAGGTTCCCGCCAAAATGAGGGGAACTGGTACTCCTTTGAGGTCGCACGCGGCCTGGAAGCCTCCGTGAGGAGAGGAACCGGGGGGTATATCAGGAGAGGCAGCACAGCAGGCAAACAGTGCGGGTTGGAGGAAGAAGGTGGGGCTTGGCCTCCACCTCCGCTATCACCAAGGCAGAGGAAGAGGAAGACATGGCTATGGGGCAGGAGTGAGGAAGGATGAAGGAGGAGGGGGAGTAAAGAAGGAGCTTCCTTGGCTATGGCGGTCCGCATCTTCATCTTCTTGGTTGGCGCTTGACCTGGAAGGCCCATAGTGGAGTGATACTTAGAAGGAAGACTCCGGAGGTGGAATGTGGCATGGCTGCCATAGTGCGAGAGGCATGGTAGCTTAGTGTTGTCCGTTGAACACTGGAGCTAAGCTCTGATGGTCCACCATAGCGACCGGCTAGACCAAGTAGGAGAAGAAGGCGTAGGATGGCTATGTGGACTCCTTGAGTGGCCGGCAGTAAGGAGAGGATTCGGACATTGATTCTGGTTCATTCACTCATTGTTGTTGTTCTTATTATTAATCATTCGCTCATTGTTGTTGTTTTTATTATCATTAATAAGACGCCGGGAGAGAAGCTGGGGGTGAGAGATGGTGGCAAGTTCAGAGAGGAGTTGATGTTGGTTCTTGCTTGTGTTCGTCTTCTTCGGCGTTGTCTTTCATCCTCCATTCTTCTTCCTCCTTTGCCTATATCTCTTGCATTTCAATTGCAACTGAATGGCATTGTCTTTCTTTGAGCTTTTGCACTGTGAGATATCCAGGATCATAACATCGGCCCATTGGGAAAGAAAGAAAGGGGAAAAAAAAAAAAAAAACCAGAATCTTACTCACCAAAAGTCCAACCCCAAACAACGCCGTGAAGCCGAGGATAACAATAAGCAGAAACTGGAAGAACTTCTCAGCACGGTTGTCCAAGCCTATTATGAAGTACACAATTGTCACAAAGATCATGCCGGGGATGATGCGCAGTGGCCATTCGCTGCAACGATCACAAGTTGTACACAGTGAAAAGCAACACAACACTTAGGCACGTTAAAGGAATCGATTGGTGCACCTAGCACTGGTGGTAACTATTCTGCAGTCACTGCCAAACACTGACTATCGATAACAACAATGATTATCACTTGATGATCATCCAGCCAAAACAGAGAAGTGAGAGCGAGCCCGCAACAAAACGAAGCAGGATCGTCACAATCAGATCATAGACGTGTGGATGGCGATTCAGAAACCAGTATAAGGCTATAAACACAGAATGGGCTTCAGAAATACCACCCATGTGGTTGAATGGTAACGACAAAAGTTACGACATGTAATTGTTAGTAAACAGAGAATGAGTTCAAATCCTGCTGGGATCAGACGAGCACCATGAACTTTGGGACTATCCCCTGAAACCACCAGTACGTTAGCCAGACAGCTTTCTATGACGTGGCCGCATGCATACCACGTCTGCCGGTACGTACTGGGGTGCCCGTTCGCAGAAAAATACATCCAGGCAAATCGCACCGCATACCTGGATGGATCTTTTGCAAAGCGGCACCCCGACACATCCCACCAGACACGGCGCGCATGCAGCCGCGTAGTAGAAAAATGGCTGGGAAACGTACTGGTGGTTTAAAGGGTTTCCACAACACGCCTCGTCCTCAACATCATCCATCCGCTTTTGCATGCAGCAACAGCAAATATGAGGCTTCTCGACCAACAAAAAGAGGCAATGCAAACGCCTCCGATAGATAATACAACTAGCAGCTGCCACTCCTCATTAGCCCGCCAAGCAGGAAGTAACAGCACCGAACAGTGACAACACGGTGAACCAATAACAACAGCGCAAGCTCAATGAGCGCTTTGGGGATCTTGATAACTTTACTAATGTTCCATGCTGCACACAAGCTGAGGAGCAGTCCGCAAGCCCACGTAACACCTGTTCCCCTGTGGTTTGTCTCTTCCAGGGCCCCCTCCTCCCCCTGTCCTCCAGGCCGCCCGCCCGCCAGACTTCTCTCTCCCACAGAGTCTCCTTCTCCCTCTGCGGTCTCTCCTCTCACTCCCTCCACCATCTTTCCTCTGCCTTGGCTGTTCGCCAAACCTACAGACGCAGCTAACATCAAACCCTAGCTGTCCTCCAGGCCGCCCGGCCGCCGGACTTCTCTCTCCCACAGAGTCTCCTTCTCCCTCTCTGGTCTCTCCTCTCCCTCCCTCCACCATCTTTCCTCTGCCTAGGCTGTTCGCCAAACCTACAGATGCAGCTAACATCAAACCCTAGCTGCTGCTTGACAAGGTAGCTTGCCCCACCTCCTTCCGAAGAGGTCCTGTCATTCTCCTGCCTTGGGAGCTGCAGCTGCCGTCTACCAGCTCCCTACCACCTTCAGTCTGGCTCGCCTACCCCTGCGCACTGCCCCACACTACCTCATGCTGACAACACCTAGCTTGGAACACTATGGTCCAGTCCATGCCACGTTGCAAAACTGAAGTAGAGGACTTCCTTTACTGGCAGTAAGGGGGATCATTCGGACATTGGTTCTTGTTCATTCATTGATTGTTATTTGCAATTCCTTTTAATTAAAGAGGTGGAGGAGATGGTGATGACATTGGTTCCGGATTGTGTTCTTCTTCCTCTTCTTCTATTTTCCTACATTCTTTTTCTCTCATGAACTTCTTCTACTTGTGTCGTTAGGAGCTAAGTCAGATGTTCAAAGGACTTCAAGTTGAAGCACGAGAAGGGGAAGCACAACCGGGTTGCAAGACGCATGGTCAAGGGGAGGCGACTCCACAGGTCCGATATTATCAGAGTGGAGAGTAAGCGACAGTTCGTCCTCTGTGTCTGATAACATCTTTAAGAAAGGACTGCTGAGCGAAGGAGTGTGGCGACCATGTGTTTCAAGGGTGCTTGGAGAATGCCATGATGTGAAGGGAGACTCTTCGAGAGGCGGTTAATGGAGGCCCCACATTTCAGACAACTTGTCATGCCATTTACAACAAAACCCAAGGGTCATTTTGACCAAACTTGCCACCAATTCATAGAGTGGAGACCATCCTAACTAATTGCCAAAAAAAAATGGAAAAAAAAAAACGAAAAAAAAAAAAACCTATAAATTTATAAAACTATTAAAACAGCAAGGCAAAAGTGCACTTTCATGAAATTTTGGGAGCTGAAAGTGGGGGTCCCCATGAACCGCTTGTGCATTGGGGATCACTGGATATTTGAGTTCAGGTTACCTGCAGACAGTGTGAGCGATCAGGATAGCCGATTCACCAGTGCACTATGGCCAGATCGGGCAGCTCGAGAGGCCAAAATTGAGTACGAGTTCTGCCAACCGCCTAACACCAATGGGCGGAGAGGATGAACTGGATGTGGCAAATCCTAGGACATCTGATCCATCCAGGGGAGATAGACTGGCATCAGCATGGTGCTAGTGCGAGGCACAAGGCCTCAATAAGCCCTACCGGGCCCCTATTTGCAACAGGTCGGCCCCTAAGTGAAGGCAGGCTCGACAGACAACAGGAGGCCGATTTTGGACTACTTCGCAACTGGGGTAAAATTCAGGCAGTTGCGCAGCGCCAGTTGGTTGAAGTCGCCCAGGCCCTGGCCTCCTTTATAAAATGTATCTAAGTCAGGCCCTGGGCGAGATACACAGCATGGACCCAACTCAGGCAGCGGGCAGTTGGGCACGGGTAACTGTCGGTGGCCCTGGGCCTGATTCGTTTGGACTGAGGCTCAGCCTCCCTGGGCCTACCGGAAGCTTCTGGGCAGGGACCCAGCGCAGCCAGGCTGCACGCAAGGCAGGCAGACCACTTCCATTTAGGAAAGGGCCTGCCCATGCATTCGGGGTTCGGGGACTGGCTGCATGCCGCGCAAGCTCTGCTGCGCTAATGCTGGCCAGGCTCACGCGCTCACGGGTGAGATGGAAGGAGCAGGCAACCATAGCCGAGCTGCGCTGCTGTATGCTGCATGGGGCGCATGGTGGTCCTTGGGTGCACGTGGCATTCTGTGAGTGGGGGATCGAGGTTATGAGTGAGTGATGCGAGAGACATACCTGGTGCTTGAGGCGATCGGCATTTACCGAGATCTGCTCGTACTTCGGAGAAGCTGTTGACGTCACCAACGGCATTGTAGATAGTAGGCTAGATAGGATCTGCCATCTGTAGTCTGGGCGCCGAGCGCCAGATAGGATATCGACATTGGTTCAKTGTTGATGATGATGGGACTATTCGCACATTGTCACTTGTGAGCTTTTGCTGTGCTCTTATTTGGTGGAACTCATGATGCAATTCTGCTTTTGGTTCGAGGTCACGACTATCTGGTCTCACGTGTATGATGCTATTTGGTTTATGGCTCATCTTCCTTGCACTAGTGTGCAGAGTGTGTAAAATACATCTCTTCATCTGGCCAGAATGAGAGTGCCGGATGAATCGCAGCTCCCGCGGATACCGACGAAACTCCTCATCCTTAATCTGCCTGCAGCAGCAGTGCCCTCCCGCCAGATTGGAGCTCACCATACAATTCACTGACGAGCTTCGAGATGTGACTCAAAAATCTGCAGAAGGGTCAGGACTCAGGAATTCATTTAGAGCACTAGTACCTTCCCCAGTGTTCGGAAAATAGGCAAAACTGGCAGTTTTCCCAAACTCCTACAAAATCGGAGGCCAGGTCGGACGACGGCTGCCATTGATAAATCTATTAAATCTCATCGGTGGCGGTCGTTTCGTTTCAGCCTCCTAAAAGGTCGGAGGCCCACCCGAGGCCCGCTATTTTCCCACTCGGCAAAGGTACTAGTGGTTAAAAAAAAGAAAAAAGGTGACAGCCTTGAGTTATGTGCTTTGAACTGACCTGATCAGCCCTAGGTACTTCGGGATTGTCAGTGTTTTACTCAACTGCTTCCAGCGGAGTTCGAACTCAGGTCCGTATTTCTTCTTCTTCTTCTTCTTCTTCTTCTACTTCTTCTTTTCTTCTCCTTCTTCTTCCTTTCTTTTGTCTTTTTTCTTTTTCTTACTACAAGAGAAACAGCCCCTTTATATTCTGGGGGGTGGCAGTCCAGTCACTTATCCCCGGCAAGCATAAGGAAAGCAAACGATAATATATGAACATCAACGAAACCCAGAGCTGCTTGAACTGAGCAGCGGGAGACTAGCTAAGGTACCCAGTCCTACCCAACAACTCTAGGAGTGGCACCAAGTCCAGCACTTTCCTATTGCCTTCCCGACCTATGTGGCACAAAAAAGGAAAAAAAACTAAACGGAAAATAGGGGATGAAAGGGTTTCACCCAGTTCGTGCAACATTGCAGGTGCCAGGACTCGATCCCCAGACCTTCCCTAGTCCACTGCATAGTTGTCGTTGACAGTCTGTGCTTCGAATCCGTGACCCAGCCTTGAAACCGTGTACAAATGTTTTGTGTGTGCAGCTTGGGTCGTGTGGGTTTGATCTGTAGGTCGCGTTTAGAAGTCTTAGGGTCGTCTGCAGGTGGCCATACGTCCTCTGAAAGGTCAGTGGTTCGTGGCTAGAGTAGTTCCTGAAGAGTCAACTTGACCTTTCGAAGTCAGTAGAGGCAGCCCTTCAAATCTCTGAAAGGTCAACAGTCCCAAGTCAAACCCAAAGGGGCACATGAAAAGGCAGTCCCAGTCCAGTCCGTTTGCAGCAAGTACCAGAGTGGGAACTGCACATCTCGAGGGCTGGGACATCGGCAGGCCCAGACCACCAAACGAAACAGAATAAATAAAGAGGCAGCGATCAGTCATTCACTCAGTATCTGGAGAACTACATGGAAGCGCTGCTCGAGTGACTTGTGCGTTGAATTCACCGGCGGTAAAAAAGCAGCCTGAAGGTGGAAGAGGGCGAGCGGCCATAGGCGCTAGGAGGAGAAAGATGACGCCGGCCATAGCCGCCTATGTGTAGAAGTTAGAAGATAGTGTGTGAGCGTAAGTGCAGACATTCAGGGTAGATCCAAGTGTTGTGTGCGTACGTGCGTGGGAGTGTGTCTGAAGGTGGA